TGTTTCTTTCATGGGTGTGATGACCGCTTGGTGAGGCAGATAATGAATAACTCCTGTTGATTCTTGTTAATCGTTTACTTCTTCTATGATTCTTTGATTGAGTTGTTCTTTTAGTATGTTTTCGTACAGCTTCAACACTTGGGAATGAGTATGAAATTTTTTGACGGTGGTTTTCAGTCTTCCAAAACAGAGGCCGAAATTTGATGGCAGTTGAATTTCGGATTCCTCCAAGGCCATCCAACGCTGTATCTTTCACCTTCTTTACCAATGGTTTCTTGAAACTGTTGCATTGCTTGTCCGTCATCATCGTCGTTTGGTGATTCCTTGATTCCCAGAATCCAAAACTGTGCTAGGTCTACTGAGTCTTCCGCTTTGGTTACAGGAAGAACTGTGATAGTGCTGATTACCGAATACCATGAAGTTGAGCGATTCTTAACTCCTTTCAGCGCTCCTTGTCCCGCAGTTATGTGATTAATTTCAGTGTATACTAAATGGAATCCGTTTTCGAACTTTTTAAGTACGCTGGGCTTCAGGTCGGAAAAGTAATCGCAACCAGTCAGTACCTTTGGTTTTTCCCATTTTCGTTGAAGCGTTGACCAATTCTTCTCTTTATTTCTTTCCAATTCCTATTCTCGATCCTTTGGTATTTCGATCTCTTGTAACTTCGAATTGATGCGATTCACCATTCTTAATTTCATTGGTTTTTGTTTACGGTTTTTCAATCTGAGATCAACCGAGACTACTAAAGTCTGGAATTCTTTCGTTTGTTCCTCCGCGAACCCATCTATTCGCTGTCGAAGAATTCTTTCGACGTTCTCAACGTTGCTCTGACATCCTTCGTAACATCCGCGTTTGGGATTCATCTAAGTTCAGAATACAGTTGTCTTCGTATTAGTTTTGGGTCTCCATACTTTTCTTGGAGTATTTTCAAAACTACAGGTAGTACCGCAAAATCCGAAATCGCTGTTGCAGCCTTTCGTGTCAGATATCCTAGGAGGTATGCCAACTTTTGAATTATTGGGATGCTTTGGCTGTCAACCGATACTCTGAAATTTTCTTAAAAGGCTGGCCATTGCAGAATTTCCCCCGAAAATTTCGGCAGTTCTAACCTTGGTAACTTGGTGTATCTTCCTTCATTAGGCAAAGCTGCTGATGTTGAGGACTGCGTTCGGGAACTATCCTTCACATCCCTGAGTCGCTGGAGGACCAATTCGACGTCCTCTTTCTGAAACTCTACTATTACCAACATTTCTCGTCCCTTTTGTGCGTTTTTGCTGTACAGCGCTGCTACAGCCGGCAAAAACGCATATTGCCGAAAGGCTGCCTGTGTGTGTGTGTTCGGAAGCGAGTGCATTTCGTCACCCACTTTCATTTCAGCAACCAGGAAAGGTGAGAGGCTGAAACTTCGGGTATACGTTCCTACCCGGTGTATCATCTTCCCGTTTTGACATCTTTCCTTACACGCGCTTGGATCCCGCGTGCGGGCCCCCCAAATAAATATGTTGGCAGGAAACGATTTCGCGTGCCAGGCAAGGTAGAAAGCTAAAACTTTGCAGGGATATTCTCTATCCACGCATAAGCTAAAGATTTTAAACTCGGATGTCGGATGTCGAGCACTCCAATCACAGCTTCAAGCATCTCGTCAACCCAAAAATCATTAAGAATTCCATCGGAACCCGGACCCGAACTGCAATCGTATATATAAATGAACATAAGTTAATTTGCATACATGAATTTCTTGACAAACGACCGCTCGAGCAATACTCCCATTTTTTAGTGAATTGGAAATTTGCATTTTTTCAAAAAATTTGCATTTGTCATTATGCGTTTTTGCATAATATGCAAATGCGGAAACGCATATTGCGACAACCCCGGTGTGTGTGTGTGTTTGTGTGTGCGTCTGTCCGGATATTTCAACTCGGCACCCAAGCAAGCTCCAGCGCCATAATTTTGCGGGTAGGTTCCCCGGCCAAGTGCCACCTCAGGACAGCGGTACCAACCCTGAAGCACGTCTAGGCCCCACGTACGAGCGCCTCAAAGTTTTGGTGGGAAAATCACTAACTCGAGAACCAGAAGAGCTAGAAAGCTGAAACTTTGGGATTATGTTTCCAGTTCAAGTAGAACTCAAAGATTTCAAATTCAGTTCCTGGACGTTCGTGGTTCCCGAGTACGGCCCCCTGAGGGTTCCTGGCGCGAAAATCGCTAGCTCGGGAACCAAGAAAGCTGGAAGGCTGAAAGTTTCAGGAAATCTTCCCAACTCATCTACAACTTCAAGTTATCAAATTCAGCCTCGCTGTGTGTGTGGCTGCCACGTACGGCCCCGTGAAAGTTTTTGGCGGGAAAATAAATAACTCCAGAGCTAGGGAAGCTGGGAGGCTGAAACTTTCAGGAAATGTTCTCAACTCATCTACAACTTGAATTTATCAAATTCAGCTCCCCGTTACGCGTGGTGGCTACGCACGGCCCGTGAAATTTTTTGGCTGCAATATGGGCAACTCGGGAACTGAGAAAGCTGGGAACCTGGGATTTCAAGGGAATGCTCCTTTTTCTAGTATAGCGTGGATAGTTAACTTTCCGGAAATTCGAGGACCAGTATGCACAAGAGGTTTCTAGCTAGCGGAATTTCGAGTAATATTACAGCACGAAACACTGCAAAAACGCATGATCGCAAGGGCCCCCCAGCGCGCGTCGCCAATGATTTTTTCACAAAGCGAGCATTTTCCAGAAAAACGACCGGACCTCATGCAAAAAACCGGTAAAACAGCTGCTAAAACCGGTAAAATCAGTTTTCCGTAGTAAAACAGTTGCTACTTTAGGGCGAAGGACCCCTCGCCCCTCCCCCCGGATCCGCTAACGACTATCCACACTTGTACAGCCGCGAAATCGCCTTTCCAATCCAACTACTGCTCCGGAAAGTGGGCCCCATGACTGTTACGAGATATGGATTACGCAGCTGTTCTCCGGAGGCGGGTGCTACGGCTATTCTAAGGGGGACACCGCTGTTCCTATCCTGCACAAAACACTGCGATATCCTTCTCCCCTCAACATCTGCATATGCCAAGCACAAACGAGGACCGAAAAAACACCGACCCTCCTTCCCCGAACACCGAGGACAACCGCAACTGCCCACGAACCAAACAAACAGAGAAGTGAACAGGGTCTGACCGCTCAGCGGGGGTTGTGCACCACAGTATACCGCATCATACCCTACTCACAGAGTACCGCTTTGTAATTGTACTATATATTGCAATCCAATATCACCGCTTCGAAAAGATGCTTGCCCAGGGCGGGGGCGGGAGGAGCGAATGTATCACAGCTTTCAACGTCTATGCATCTCATTTCGATACAACCACAGCTCAGTGGTTGCGCGTAAGAAATAAGTGAGATGTGTCGACGTTGCAAACGCAGCGCGGCCTATGGCTACGATCAGCTATGATGGGCGGCAAATCTGAATTCACGTCACTTGCTAACGGCAGTTCGGGGAAGGGATACGAAGGTGGACCCGCCCGCGTCATTGGTGTCCTGGCCTGGGCAGGAGGGGAGGGGGGAGAGGGGAGAGGAACAGCGAAATGCAGTGGTAGTTGGAAGTATGGGGTGTACTAATTCACTTCACCTCAGGAGTTGCGAAAGCTTGAAAGTTGAAGTTGTCTTGGTCAATGTGCGGGATAGCGATGGGCCGTCAATTCGTCGATTCGCATAGATGATCAAACCCAGTCCTCAGCTGAATGGTGGTGTAATGTGGAACCCCCTTCTTTCTTTCCTTTTCCCTATCTGTGAGAGACGGTGGTTCAAAGTTTGATGCAAAAACGCATGATCACACCGGCTCGCCTGGTGCTTTCCAGCCTGCTTCCATTATGTTCAGGAAGCTGTTCTCGTCAGCGATGGACTGTGCATATATGCCTTCTTCATTCTTTTGTTTTTACTCGGGAGCCTCCTCTACCATTTGTAACCACCGCTCACTGATTCTTTCTAGAATACTGACCGCGGAGCTTATTGATCGGTGGGAATACTGTATTTCACTGCGCAGTCTTTCGTAGTGCTCAATTCTTTCTTCACAAGTGGCCATTTCTTCAGGCTCAGTTATTTGTGGTACTTCGGTCAAGTACTTCTGCAATCGTCGTTTGGCCGGGCCAGCCGATAGCCTTAAAGAGCCCGACATTTCTTCTTTTTTTTCAACAGCCTGAGTCTTCTTTTTGTTTGCTCTCAATTGCTGGCAACAGTGTTAGCAATGGCTGGAGAAAGCACTCCCGGCCCGCAACACCAAGTGATGAAAAAATAGCTTCTTTCCGACCCTGAATTTTTGGAGTTTCCTATTATTATTATAATTAATCTCAGTTGCTCTCATCAACTAGAGGTAACTATAGGTATACTTACGCGATAGCAACAAGAAAATAATTAGCCAACGCACGGGCTGCCCGTGTGAAGATGCGTTTTTCTCCGCAGTTTTTGTCGCTACCGGCACCAGTTTTTTCGGCAAGTGCTTCTTGCTAAACAAATTAAGGCCGACCGCCAGAACTGTCAGGAAACGCCTCCTTAAAATTTCCGCTTTCTAGCTTTCCTGGCTCCTGAGTTAGCAGTTAGCAGCTTGCTGGAAACTTTCGCGGAGTACCACTCATACCGGATTTCTGGTTTTGAGCTCATTGAGGCTTACGTGAAAGGGGAACATCCCTTTAAAAATACAGTCTTGTAGCTTTCAGGTTCTTGAGTTAGCAATTTGCCCGAAAAAACATTGGCGGGCTCATGCGTGGGTACGACGTATAATCGAGGGCTGGGTTGGAAGCCCATTAAGACATACGTGGACAGGGAACGTTCCCGTAAAATTTCAGCTTTTTAGCTTTTCTGATTCCCGAGTTATCAAGTTACCCGAAAAAAAATTTAGAGGGCTCGTATGTGAGTACCACGCATACCCACAGTCTGAGTTTGAGCTCAGTGAGACTTAGGTTGACGGGAAATAAACTCTTAAAATCACAGCCTTTTAGCTTTCCAAATTCCCGAGGTATCAACTTACCCGAAAAAATTTCGGCAGCCCGTACTTGGGTACTGCGCATACCCGCAGTCTTGTTTTGAGCCCAAGGAAACTTAGGTGGAGCGGGAATATCCTCTTGAAATTGCAATCATTTAGCTTTTCAAATTCCCGAGCTATCAACTTGCCGGAAAAAAATTTCACGGACCCGTACGTAAGTACCACGCTTACCCGAGGGCTGGGTTTGAGTTAATTAATATCCACTTGGACAGGGAACATCTCCGTGAAATTACAGCTTTCTAGCATCTCAGATTCCCGGCTTACGAACTTACCCGAAAAAAAATATTGACGGGCCCGTACACAGGTGCCACGCTTACCCAGGAGCTGGCTTTGAGCTCATTAATACCTGCTTGGGCTGAAGACATCCTCCTAAAATTTCAGCTCCCAAGTATTCCTGGTTCCCGAGTTAGCAGCTTACCCGTTAAAAAGTTTGGCGAACTATTACGTGAGTACCACGTACGCCCTACAGGACCGCTCATTTTGAGGATGGTCGCCCGTACTTGCATGTAGATAAAGTTTTCAAAGTTTCAGCTCTGTATCTTCTTTAATTCTTGAGATGAAAGTCTTGAGATGATGAAAAACC